ATTCTCTTGCCTTAGAGAAACTGAGTATTATCGCATCAGTACATTTAGGGTTTGCAACCAAATGGTACACATGTAATTATTCGTAAGGGTTCATACAAACTAGGAAGACACCACTCCTCAGATGCATCCATATAACAGAGGAATTAAAAAAAAAAAAAATTAAAATCTACTTTCCCTAAGAAAGAGGAATCACTGAAGGAGAAGAGCCAGGCTGGCACAAATAAGTGAACTGAATGTGTTTGCCCACTCATTTAGAGAACAGACTTGCTGCTAAATGTTCCATCTCAATGTTTGGCTGGTGTACAAGACCACTCTGAGGGCAAGGAAAACCTAAGCAGCACATTGGAACACTTTGCTTCAAGAAGTCTAATTTTGATTAAGTTATTATAGGCAAAATCTCTCCAAGCAAACTTTGAGGGTTTTCACACAACAAAATCTTTACAAAAGCAGCATTAATCAAAATTTAAATACCATCCTATGCAAACTCAGTCTCTTTGGATCAATATGATTTCTCCACCCTTTGGTCTTGATTTCCTACATTTATAAATCCAGTATCAGGTCATGCTAATATGAAACAAGAATGCTAGAAAATAAGGTTCACAGCGACATTTTTATTCCAGAGCTCACTTACGCTGACAGAACTGTAAAACTAATTGTGGAAACTCCCTATAGTAACATGCTTACAACTCTCCCATCTCTGTCATGTTTTTCTCTCTTCCTAAATATCAGCTCCTGTCTAGCCTGCAGCAAAGTATTCTACAGATGCTACGTTTTTCACTCAAGAGCTCCAGTGACTTCTGCTATCTGCCAAGGAGGGGAGTTCTCAAACCCGTTATCTCCCAGTTCCCCCCTGCTCAGACAAAGGGAAGGCCTGCAAAGGGAAATAGTCTTGCTAGCATAGTTTTATTTTGGGACCTGTAAGGAAGCCTTAGTGCTTTCTCCTGGTGGATAATTGCTCCATCAGATGGAAGGGAGCTTATGAAGGTGGCCGGTCTAGCATGGACATGTGTAGCCATTTAGGACAGTAATTGGCTGTAAGTGGTACATAAGCAAGAAAGAAAAAACTAAGTAATTTAATTAAAAGATGGGTATTTGGAGAAAAGTTTAAATATTGAACATCAATATTCCTACAGCATTTATTTACTTTTACTGTGCCATAAATGAATATGTATAGACCACTGCTGCCTGCCATGGCGAAATGAGCAAAGAATGGGGTAAAACTCATGCCCAAGGGAGTACAGCTCTCACACTCACCAGGAACCCCAAAGGTTTTTCCCAGCAGGTTTGCACAAGCAGACCTGACTTTCAGTAAGGAAACTAGAAGTGTTAATCATCCATTACTTCTCTAAGCTAGAGATAATGGTAAATACCTGTAAACCCTCAGTGGGAAAACACCAGTCACAATTCAGTAACTGGAAATTAAGCTGCAAAACACATCACGTCAGCATTACTCTATGTAACTGGTGTTCCTGAACCTAGCTCCCTCTACCAAGAGAGCCTCAAATAATGCAAGGCAGTGTAAAGTGGACTGTTGTTAATATTTATAACTGTCCCTTAGAGGTACCTGTAAGTGGTCACTGGTACAAACAGCTTATGTTCAAAGTTCTTCCTGCTTAAGGTTTTATGATTCGCTTCACACTTTTTTTTGTAAATTTATTTAATGTTTTTTGTATTCCCTGTAAAAGTACATGTGAACTGGAAAAGAGTTCTGAAAGGAAAACTGAAAAGGAAAACTGATCACGCGAAGTTCCGTCCTGTGCCAGACTCATCAGTAAGATAAGTCTCTTCATTTGTACCTCAGCATCCTCCTTCCTGCAAATTGTAAACTGGAAGGAAAGGAAACAGGTCCACAACTTGGCTGCAGGAGGTGCAAGCAATCTCCCTTTCTCTCAATTTACCTTCATGAGAAAATTGGTATCTATCATCCTTTGAAAAATGGACTGTAATCTGTGGAAGAGCAAAGCACTATCAATGTTTATCTGTATAATAAAACCTAAAGACCTCAAACATAGATGTAGAGATACACATTTTCTACAAGCACTTTACAACTAGCACACACTGCTCCCAAAGCCCTAAAATATAAAACAAAACACAGGAGAAAAGAAGTTTTATCATCTTGGTTCCACAGATGAGGAACCAAGCCACCTCAGAGAAGAGTTCAAAAAACCTAATATATTCCACAGTAAAGGATCTGGTCTCCCCCTCTCTTCTCTACCACAGGCCTCAGGACAAACTGAACTCAGAGAATTGCACTGGAAATTAGGGAAAACTACTTTGTTTCTGAACTCTGTTGCAATCTTTCTGTACGCTATTGCTACTAACAATGAAGAATAAAGTCATATAAGACCCAGATAACACCAAAGGACAAAGCCATGAGAATTCAAAAGCAATTCAAGGAAACATCACAAAAAAGGAAGAGCATAATTAACTGTAGCTTTGGGGACAAAAGTATTCTTCTATGAATGCTGAAAAACCCGTGCAAACTTCAGTGAGGATTTTGAATGCACAAGGAGAGAACATTTCCACTTTCACGTGGTGATGTGCTAAGCATACGAATATACAGAAAAATTTACTCTTTCAAAGTCAGGTGATTTGCCTTCAACAGTTCATCCAAGGATGTAGATAACATCTGTCTGGCTTCAAGAGACCAGGATTTTAAAAAGCATGCATAGTCTGATACAAGGTGTGTCATCCAACGGTGATTACTGAGAAAAAAAAATGAAGATTTAAGCTTAATTTGTCAAAAGAACAACTTCACAATTTTTCTACCTCAGCATTTTTTTGAACAGGAATCGAGAAGCAACTTCCAAACCTGTATACTTTGAAATAATGCTAGATGACCACCTCTGTATTGGGATCCCATCTCCAATGCGGCTAATATTAAGATGGCCTCCTAAGTAAGTCTGCAGGCTCTAGCTGGGAGTGCTAGCAAACGATCATCGTACAGATCCATGATTTCTGCAACTCAGTTAAGTCAATGTACTGCATGCGACCACATTTTTCCCAGATGAACTTCTTCATTTATAACTAAGCTGAACCATTAGATAACTACTAGACTTACTGACAAAATCAAGGAGTTATTAATTGCTGTCCTTACAACTGACTCAACAGTCTAAAACCCATCCAGAGTACATCAGACTTCACAGCAAAGGCTACTGCAGAGTGGCGAAAGAGCAGGAAAGAGCTACTCCTCCTGTAAGAACCTATTTCCTCCTCATACACCCATAGGAAGAGATGGCTCACTTCAAACTCTCTGGTACGTGCCATCTGTGGGACAGTGCTACTTCAGGAGGAGAAGATGTAGCAAGCAACACCTTCTAGGCAGACACAAGAGATCTGAAGATGCCAGATGTCTCCTGAATTAATACTCATTCCTTGCTTGTTTTATTAGGAGTGGGATTCAGCCTTCACGTTATTGTGAAGACACTCTCAGAACAGTGTCACACCTACTTAAGTAGTGATTGATTTTCTTTCTCCTATTTATATTTCATTTCCCTCCTCTGTTTTTTTTTATCTGTATATAATTTGTCTTTTCCATCTTCACTGCATTACTAGTACTCTTTTTAGAAAGAAACTTGATACAATGCATACTCGGGATGTTCTGTCTCATGGAAAACCAAGGACCGGAGCCAGGTGTCCCACCATTTTAGAGCAATGAATGCCATATATCTGTGGGAACAGTGTTTGCAAGCAGCATGGCTAGCTGAGAAAACAGCACGCAGCCACTGGGACTTACTTGCTATTGACTTGTCCTTGCCCATGAACTGAGGAAGATGGTACCTAGAAATCTTCTGGCTGTTTATGGACCTTTGTTTGTTCTAGTCTTCCTTCATGAAGAGGTCCCTTTCTCAGTGGTATTTCTTGTGTTGTGGTGGTTAAGGAACAAAGAGAAAACATTTTTCAGTTAGTGAGGCGTATTTGCCTCTTTGTATGTTTGTTTCAGTCTAACCACATGTATAAATTACTTGCCTTAAAAAGCTGAAAAGTAGTTTTATTTGAGACTAGGGACATGGAGACAGACTTGTACAATAAACAGAGGGCAGAAAAGTAAGTGTGTGCTTGTCAGTGCATTCTTAAGGAAAAGGACAGCCTTAGTCTTAGAAAAGCAGGAGTCAAGGGATACAGATTCTGCCCCTTGTTCTAATATGGACCTCATGTATGACTAGAAAAGTCACCCCACCTCATCTCTGAAGTAATAGTACTGTTTATCAGTGGTGTCTACCAAAAAGAATGTGAAAAACATTTTTTTCATTTTTTTTGCAAATCCTATTGTGACATCTGGATGGAAATGCTAGATGAGTGCAGTGCATTACTCTACTATTACCTACCTTTTAGGGAACTTACTACTGTGCTTAAGGTTAGGAAGGCAATGGAAACCTTGTCTTTGGTAGCTTCTGGAGAAATGATATTACTCTTGCCTCATAACACTTGTTTCCAGCATAGAAAAAGTGGGACCATAAAGTCCCATTTATTTCCCTTTCCCTTTTTTTTAAGCTTCTGGGTTTTTTTTTTATTATTTCTGTAAGATATTTAGCTATTCATCATTTTTGCAGTTTACAATAGTGGCCTGCCTTAAATAAATATTTTAAAATTTCAGAACAAGTGTACCATATTCTGAATGAAAGATTTTCATAATTATTATCATTAATATACCAGTTTTCTATGTTGGAATTATTCTATGGGAATAAGAAAGAGGACATCTGTGTAAGTGAAACAAGAGGATGGGGAAAAAACACAACATGAAGTACAGGTAAGTGGGAATAAGACATTTAAATCAAAGTGAAGAGATTTAAACCTAACATCGAGACTCTATTTCAGGCATGCAGTCTTCACAGATTTCCATACATCATGTCCAAATTTGCCTTCAAGAACACATGCAGCACATCATAATAGGGATGGAAATGCTTTACAGACTTACGAATGTTGTCCTATGGCATCTTGCCGCTACAGAAATTCAAGAGAATAACACATGAAAAATAATTCTCACATTCTCCTTGCAGGTTTTGTTCTGGTTATCGGATTGGTGACTTTCTACCGCATCGGGCCATACACCAACCTCTCTTGGTCTTGCTATCTAAACATTGGAGCCTGTCTTTTGGCCACGCTGGCAGCTGCCATTCTCATATGGAACATCCTTCATAGGCGTGAGGACTGCATGGCGCCCCGGGTCATTGTCATTAGCCGTACCCTGACCGCTCGGTTTCGTCGTGGCCTGGAAAACGACTACGTTGAGTCACCGTGCTGAAAGAGTGGACTTGAAAGGGGAAAGATCTCCAAGGAGATCTGCATTGGAGTTGTTTGCTATAAATATATGCTATAATTTAAAACTAAGGGTTGAAAGACATCACGAAGCTCACTCTTGTGGGCAGAAGCCCTCAACTGTTATTTGGATGGGCTCCATCTATATACATATGTATAAAACACATAATTTTATATATATTATATTATATTGCCCTCTCCCTCTGCTGTACAGCACAGAATGTTGAATTGTCAAAATCCTGACAGAGCATCACAGCTACATGTCAGCAGGGTCAGCTGTAGCAGACACAGAGTGTATGCAATGAGAATATAGAAAAGAGGCAAACAAACACATTTTCTCTGTCTGCATAAAGTTATCCTACTCCCTAATAATATTGTAAAAAGCTATAGGAGACCAGTGACAATAGCTTTGGAGTTAACAGGCAATCTGAGAAAGCAGAAAACTTTGTGATGAATAAGTGATGAATGTGAATAAGTCATGATTTTAACAGCTGTTTAAATTTCATGAATCTTTAGTCCTTCTATCCACCTCTCTTCAAGGAACTTCTCATTAGCTGCAACACCTGCTCCCCAGTCACAGCATAGCCCAGACAGTTAAAAGCAAAAGGAACTCTAACCATTCTGATTATAAAGTAAGGGTATGCAGAAGAATTAAGTTGCAATTTTTTCGGACACTTCTTTTATATCCTGAGACAAAGGTTCAGGTTTATCCTATGTGTAAACAGATATGCCATTAAAAATGAAAAGGGTACCCAGCTACAGCAGACCATACACGTTGCTGAAAAATCTACTTCAGTGTTACAGTAAGGGCAAATATCTATAGATATAGAAGATATCTATAGAGAGAGATATATATGTAGAAACTTACCTGGATTCCCTAATAATTACAGACACTATTAACTTACATTATTGGAAACAATTATTAAGAACAGGTATTTCAGCCCAAATCAATTTTTTTCTTCCCAGCTTGCTTTATCATTTGCTGTGACATTTTCAGATTAGGGTGCTATGTCAGGAGACACAGCTCTGCCCAGCAATGCTCAGAGGCACATAACACAGTGAATACTGGAGAATATAACTGCCACTCAAGTACCCAAATTGAAGAATGACACACACATACAGGACTTAAGCATGACATTTAAAAAAAAGACCTGCCTGATAACTTAATACAGTAATGAAATTAAAATAGTTAGCACCTTTGGAATTAGGCATCATGTTTAGAAGCCTGACCCTGAGAAGCACATGGGCTCACAAAAGTCATATGCATATAACTTTCCGGAAGAAAAACAACAGGTCAAAAGCTATTATGCAGAAATATTTATGATACAGGAACTAGAGGCAATGACAGATGTTTAAAAACTCTAAAGGATGCTACTCTGAGCTCAGTTACTGATAGGTTTGAAGGACCATGAGCTGTGAATGTTACAAATTCTTACGGATGGTTGTGTCGCTCCCAGCTGAGTACACTGCTTTTCTTCTTTATCATTATTTCCACCATACTTTTCCACACTTTGTTAAAATGTGATCATCAAGCTGGCTCTTGAGTTCTGTTCTGCACTCAGTTCTGATGTAATAAGAAACTCCAACTGCTGCTCTGCACCATGTTCAAAGTGAGCAACACTCTGCAGAGACTGATGCTCTAGAACAACTGCCTTGTTCTAGACTATCAGGGTAGAATACCAGAAAGCTGACAAAGAGTTTCTTCTAGCAGTAGGTTTGTAAAAACCAACTAAGATTTGTATTCATTTGCTTGCATTACTTTCTGGAAAATCTTTTCTAGAAATAATATGCTATGATTAATTGCAGGGTTTTTAAAAAATAAAATATTGGAATATTTAAAAGACATTATATTATTTCTTCTAATATTTCAATATCCATATTATAATAATGTACATTTAAATTTAAAAATCATCTATGTGGTCGGTAAATTTGTAATACTCAGTATTACTGTGATAAATAAAGTTGTGAATGTTGACTTTCTTCTAGTGATAATGTGAGATTTTTGCCATTCAGACACAGAATAAGGTTGCTCGTTATCAATAATCCTTTCCCGTTTGGTAAAAAGGAATCCACAGAGCTTGCAATGTCTTGTAAAAAAAGAATAAGCAGAAAGTAATACATTAAAATGTCTGTAAGATAAAGATATTTCATCTTGTTAAAAGTGAAAGGGAGAATTAAATCAGAGAGGAAGATGTAAGGAGAATTTATGAGGATCAAAACTTCATACAAACTTCTAATGAAAATAAACTGTACCCACAAAGAAATCCATACAAATACTTGCGATACCTTTTGATCAGCTTGATGGATTTGAAGGCCTCATCCATGTCTCCAGCAGTCAGATAGAAGCTGAAGTTCAGCATGGCATCCCGGGTAGTCTTATCACAGTCTCCTAATCCAATGAAATCTCTCATGGGCCTTCTCGCAACCATCTGAGAGACCGCTGTTGAGCCAGACTCTGCTTCTCCTTTTTCAGCTTCCCCCGGCTAAAATGAGAGTGTTATCATTTAGGTATCAAGTAGGTTGAAACTCGCTCCTTTGTATGTGTAATTAATTACATTATTTCCATTACAGTCCGAGTTTTCTATTTCTGCCACACCATGATCAATAGTGACAATAGTTGCAATGTTTCAGAACTTCCTACAAAATGTCCCAAAACATGGAATGTCATAGAACATATTAGCATATCATAACGAACAATCACAGTACATCAGTGATAGTTTGGAGATTGGTAAAATACCACAGGAGAGGCAGCCACCAATAATAATAATAATAATAATAATA